TCCATGTTCATGTAATTTGTAGGATTATGGGGTAGATTATAATGAATCTCTTCTTTTATATTTTAAGAAACTGTTTATTATTTGCACCTGGAGGGACTACTTTTCTCTCGGGCTGCTGCAGTTAGAGTAAGGATCTATATCTATGGTGTTCTCACCATATACGATTCTACAGCCACACACATACACACCTATACAGTTTTAACTGCCCTTATTACTGTAAACATCCTTTCTTTAATTCTCTCGAACCGTCGATACATTTTTGCCTCATAATATAGGCTTAGAATTATTCATTCCAACATAATAGAAATATTGAAAAAAATAACTAACGCTAAGTGATGGCAAGAAGATATCTTGCTCTTCACGTGGAAGAATCTATGTGTGCGTGGCGATTATTGGGCTCGAGCAAATAAGCAATTACATTATGTTTTGCAAATATTATAATAAGGGGTTAGAAGGGTTCACCGGGTTATCTGGAATATCAGGATCGTCGGTTCAGGCGTTTTAGAGAGCGCCAAAACCGGCACCAGCCCGCCGCTCACTTTTCTTTCCTTTTTTAATGAATCTATACCTGGGCTTACTTACTCGACGAAGAGCTCGATATTTCACTGTTTCTAATGTAGTTTAAAACAAGCTTGCTTTCGGGAAGCTGTGAAAGAAAGAAAATGGAAGGAAGAATTCCTTTTTTTTCTATCGGCATATGAGAGAGAGAGAGAGAGAGAGAGAGAGAGGCGGAAACTCATCTAAAAAATATTTTCTCTATCTTTTACGATGCCAATAAAAGTACATTGAAAGCTCGATCTGTTCTCTTGAGTCTATAATCTCGAATTATGTATCTGAAATTATTTGGTATTGTTTCGAAAACCGGAAGTCATCGATCGACCGGTTAATGCGACTTTAATATCGCTTCAGGTTTTCCGCTTTCTTTTCGTTTCCTGTCGGTGTGTCGGCGTTTTCTTTTATTTGCGCTTTGGGCGTTTCGTTATTAGGAGTCACCCTGCATTTTCGTTATCTGTCCTAATAGCATTGCCATTCTGACTTAACAATACTACTACATTTTCGTATGCATCGAAACCTGCAGAGGAAGGAACTTCGAACGGTTGCTCTTCCGACCTGAAACTCAAGGGACATTCGCTCGAATAATTTTACTTCCTACGTTGCGAAATTGTACGAGTTCTTTCAAACCTTATTAAATACAGGTAGAAAAGTAGAAAAACGAAGCAGTTTCTTCGACCTTTTCAGATTATCCAGATTTCGCTGACCAGTTAAAAGCAATGACAAAGCATTCGAATTTCAACACGTATTAAATATTAAATTAAAAAACCAGTTTCACAAAATGCTGCAATTTATTTAGGAAAGAGTTTAAAAATCACAGTACATAGAGGAATACCTAATTAGAAATTCTAAATAAAACCGCATGCATTAAATGAAAGCAACACGTGTCTTCGTTTTTGTGTATTTAGGATGATTCGAAATTTCGCAGTTGTAATTTGTTAATAATTGGATATTGTTTGTACTTATGGGTAGGGTGAGAAAGATTTTTCTCGCTAGCCAACTGGCCCCAGGTGTGTATACGGGGAGCGTGGCAGACGCGTGCTTCTCCCCTCTTCGAACCTTCGCTCGCACCAGTTGTGCTATTACTCGCTTTCTCATTCTTTTTATTATTAGTATCTATTATAATAGAACGCGTTCTACAGGAAATTAATATGGAACGTANTATTTTCTAAGATAAAATTAAATATATTGTTAAATATGTTTTATTGATTATAGGAACTAGTCATCTCAAACTTGTTCATTTCTTTATCATTTCATGAAAAGTTCAATTTTTTGGGGGTAAACAATTTTACTCAGAATTTATATGGCGTTCTCGTCTTCGAGTGACGAAAACGAAAATTTTTCATCGTCTCCATTGAAACATTCGTTTTCCCCTCAGATACGAACATTTCGATGAATCGACATCCGATCCTGTAAGACTTTTATCGAGGTAGGCAATTAATAAACACGGAAACTGTTCGTTTTGCGGAAGATTCGCATCGGCTTTGGGCATCGCGGCGGGGAAAGGTGGTAATTAGGTATTTGCTACGGAATAATGCAATTATCAAATTGACCCTCGCACCCTCGCATAATTACTCCGCGACTTCAGGATTTAAGTGGATAATCATTGGGAATTGGGGAACTCCGTTCGGTGAACGTTGAAATTTGGCAAGCGTCAGAATGTGGGGCGCCGGCGAGTCAATGCGTCCTACCATGTAATTTATGTTGCACGTAAATGTATGCACACGCTCTTAACAGTTCACCCTGTTTTCTCCTGTTAGGCTCAGGTATACGACTCGTCTAATACGTTTCGCCAATCTCAAGATCCACTGTCTGGTGATCAAACCGTGCGTATGTGTACACAAAATTTTTGATCAATGTATATAAAAAAACGAATATTTTTGTCACCAAGATATATTACGATTTTAATCTCTTAAATAGGTGCAAATTATATGAGCTAGTAACGAGGATAAAGGCTTTCCTGTGAATAGAGTCGCTATTAGCACCGTTTCTAGGTATTAGTTTGTCAAACGACGAGCTAATAATGTGTTTGCGGTTCGTTAAGTATTCGCATATATTTCACGAGATTAGGATAACGCTGAAATGTGTCCCGACTAGCCGGTATCCGGTCTATCGTGATTTAACTTCTATACGACTTTCGTTATGTGCCAATGTTCTCACTGTGTGTATCGATTTGAGAAAAAGCAAAAGCTTCAACAAGCATAGCCTCCGGTTTCCTCGATTCGGATCGTCTACTAACAATGACCTAAGCCGATTACGTTCTTCCCATCGTCGCCTCGTATTCAATGGCGACTGAAATTAGAAGTATCTGATAAATTCGCAAATCTGATATAAACTTGTACAATTAGCTCGTTAAGATTCGTATATTAAGCTAAATGTACTAATTTCTGTTCGACAAGAAGTTAAAAGAGAGAGAACGACAAGGCTTATGAACACAGTTATGTATTTGGGTGCAATATGGATGGATGAATGTGATTTTACGCCAAAGAAAGATTATGTTTTGTTTACTTTGTATTTAATTTGTTTAAGTTGTACTCTTAGAATGTTATTATAATGTTTATTTCTATTCATGTTATATAGCTATATGAGTTAATATTTAGTTAAGATACTAGAAATGTACGAAGGGTGACATAGTATGTCCTATTCTTAGGCCGATAAGGCTAGAATAAATTATTTATTTATTTACTAATTTCTGTTCACAATTTTTATTTACTAGTTCTTTATTATAGTACGTTTTTGGTTCGCTTGAATAATGTAATTCTATATTAGAAACGTTTTAAAGAAGGATGTGGGAATGGAAAAATGGTAGAAAGTGTAGGAACTATTAACTTTAGGAAGCTAAAGCCTAAAAGTGGCGTCCATTGGCATCGACCTACGTCGAAGCTGAGAAAACTCTGGTTAATTGGTGGCAGAGGGTAAAAATTGATTTCCAGAACGACCGGGTGGCCATTCTGGTTCCATTTATATTACGGTTCCCGAGAACAATTTATAACCATTGTCTGCGTCAGGGAATCTGTGGAATCAAAAGGTCTGGCTAGCTATCACACGGTTATCATTACGAAACTGCAGATTTTTATGTATTATATTTATTATAGTATGTATTATATTTT